GACACCGCCCCGGGGGCGCCCCAGGCCCGTCGCGGCCTAGCCCAGGGGCAGCGCCGGGGACTGGAGTAGCGGCCGCAGCCCGCCCCCTGGAATGGGCTGGAGCGGGCCGAAGGAGGAAGGCGGGCGGGAGCTGTTCAAATGGGGAAGGCGGGAAAGCTGCGGGGCCGGGAGGGGGCGTGCGGCCGCCCCGGGGACCTGTGGGCCGGGGCCGCCCCTCCCCCTGCCCGGGCCGTCTCCGCCCTCGGGGGCACTGTGCGGCCGCCGAGGACGCGGGAACCCGAGTTGGAACCGTGGCTGGCCTTGGGGCCCGGGATGTTAGGTCCTGGGGTTGTCAGGGGTAAAGGGGCCTGAGCCCGGGGCGACTTGGAGGGCTGGGTCCTCGGCTGGCAGAAGAGGATGCGAAGAGCTTTTTTCTTTTCCTCTTTACAGAGCTTTGTTAAACTAGTTGTTGCTGCAGAACTGCCGGGAGAATCCCATTGGTTTACCGTGGGGACCACAAAAATGGTGGTCCTGGGGGGCTCTGTATAAATAACCTGGTATCGTGTGTATTCTTTGCGTGCGACCTCAGTTCGAACGTGCCTTGGTAGTGGTATCTCCTCACACAGGCCCATTTATTTCCCCTTACAGCTCTTACTTGTAGATTCTCTTTATAGTATACAAAAGAAGAGAAGCATCTACGTCCCTCCCTTCTGATGCCCAAGCTGGTAGCTGATTATATCCTTCATAGCAGAATAAATAAAAAACCGAATCCAAAATAAAGCCTGTTGATTGGACAAGGCTTGTCAAAATTTGTATTGCTGGTTTTGTGGAAATGTGTGTTGTGAGCCAATCTGTGCGGTGGTCGTGGTTCCGCTTAATTACACTGCAGTGAGAAGATTCAATCCCCATCCTAGGCTGTCCGGATCTCCGCAGCTTCCAGAGCTGGCAGGGGCTGTGAGTGCTGCATAGATAGGTCCTTGGAGAAGGGAGTGGCAAGAATTCTGAGTCGTGTCTGAGATTGGAGGAAACTTTGACAAAAACGAGAAGACATCACCTGCTCATGTCCTAGAAGTAACACACACACACACAACCCCCCCCCCAAAAAAAAAAATTCGGTAACTGGCAACAGCTGGATGTGGCGATTTGAGTTCCTGCAAGAAGTGTTGGGCAAAGAGAAGGAGAAACCTCGGACAAGGCTCGCATCCTGGACCAGAATTTAGCTTATTGCCTACTTTATGAGACTTACTTTGTTCCTTCTTTTTCAATATTCGTTCGCATTCTGAATGAAGAAGCTTTTTCCTGATTGCTGGGGCTCGGATCACTTCAAAAGATTACCTTCTGAAACTTTGTTTCAAAATTTATAATTTGAATTTTCAAAGTAACCAAGTACTATAGCTAATGATTTTAAATTTTCCCTGATTACTTTGGTAATCCCAAAAGCCTGTTCCTGAACATAATCTGTATACTTATCTACAAGTGGAAGAGCAGCTCTGCCTCTCCTTTTTTGTATCCTGAAGAAAAATCCGAAAAAAAAAACGTATAAAAATTTGCACATTTCATAAGTATACATTTTTTTATGATGCAATGTTTCTTATTTCCATAAACAATGTTAAATAATGAACTTTTACTTACGTTGTCGTTTCTTAGCACACTGAGATAAACGTAATTGTAAAATTATCCCTGCCTGTTGAAGTTGACTGCGTTGAATTCTCTAAACTCCAAGATTGTGGAACTCATAAAAAATGAGTTTTAACACGTTTTACATTTGCCAACATTTAGTTTAATTATGGCCTCTGTTTTCTAATGTGAAAATTAAACCTAAGATTTTTCATTTCCACTAATCTGAATAGTCAGCTGCCTACCCCTGAACTCCGAGTTTATCATGGATAATATTTGAGATCTAGATGGAATATCAGGGGCTCATCTGATCTTATATAAATGTTGCGTTAACTCTTTCTTCCACTCTGTTGCTTAAGACTTCTTTATCTGGTGTCACCTTTCTTTTACGAGCCAGCAACCAAAACTAGACCCTATTCTACAATAATATCTTGATTTTAAAGAACCTAAAAATTAAGGGCCGTAAGTCTTCCCAAGCTTTGACTGATACAGTCCATTGTGTTTAATTTTAGTTTTTCAAGCTTTCATCTACCCCAATTCTTTAGTGAATTGGACTTGCCTGCAGGCCTCTCTCATATTTTTCTACAGATTGTTTAATCGTATAATTTAGAAAATGTTCTTCAGTGTATTTCAAGAAAATTTGAACAGCAGCAGGCCTAATCCTAAAACTTAATGCTAACAGCAGCACATGTTTTCTGTATTGGCCTGTGCTTCTGAGGAACAGCTCCTAATTTTCTGTTTTCCTCTCCAACTTTTTCTATCTACTGGTTGTTTTTAAAAGCCGTCAGTTATGAGGCCAGGAGAGCCTTTTCATAGTCTAGTAAGTCACAGTTATTGTTTCCTTTCTCATTCTGTCTTCAGAGGTACTTCTGTCTTGAGTGTTAGATTGCTCAACTCTGTCCTTCGGTGTTACAAAGGGAAGTCCTGATTATAAGCTTCAGGAGCTTACGTTTAGAAGTGCATTTCGTTGTTGACAGATTGTTGGGCATATTTATGATATTGAATATTTAAGATTTTTCCTCCATTGTTTCTCAAGCATTCTTTGCCAGAAATTATTTGGCATGAAAAGCATTTAACTTGAGGTCTCAAGTCGTGGTATTTCTTGGCATTATCAGCCTATGAAAACCAGTGTGACGTATGTATATTTTTTTTCCTAAAAAACTCAATATTTTGATTCCAGAACCAAACCAAGTCCACTGCCATTGAGTCAGTTCTGACTCATAGCGACCCTGTAGGACAGAGTAGAACTGCCCCCATAGGGTTTCCAAAGTATAAACATTTACAGAAGCAGACTGCCACTGCTCCACATCCTTGTGGAGCAGCTGGTGGATTCAAACCACCGACCTTTTGGTTAGCATCCGAGCATTTTAACCACTGCACCACTAGGGCTCCTCAGTTTGGTGCCGGTGAAAGGATATACTGTTTTCAGATTAATGGAGCTGATACCCAATGACATTCCGCCTCCCCTCCACTCCCTTTGGGTAGAAAGGGGAAGACAGTAGTTTCCACTTGAGAAAGTTTAATACTTAATGCTGGAACATGAAAAACGAGCTACACTGTCTTGCCCCTCATATTTCCACATGAGGCCTGGCTTATGTCCCTATCCCCTTCATTTCCTATGAAAACACCCCCTGAGCAAGCACTTTTCTGATTTATCTTTAAAATAATCCAGTTCATTTAGTTTGTTTACTTCACTCTAGCTGCTCTTACTTTGACCAAGTCCATTCTTCATTTCACTTCTCAGGGAAGTGGAGAAGTGCTTTCTTACGTTTCTTTTCTTAATCTTTCTTGTAAATCATTCTTGGTAATACTTTTTTTTTTCCCTCCTGTTTTCATTTTAGGCCTTTCTACGTATTGTATATTATCTGATTTATACAAATAAGTCTTTTGTTTTTTTTTTTTTAAATCTAACACTTAGGAAACTTTCCTTTGTTAATCAAATTCATCCTTTCTTTCTCAGAAGTAGCACACGTCAGTATCATCCACACCTACCTGAAGGTATTAGTAATGCCCCATTGAAGTAAATCCCATTATATTAATGAAGGTAAAATAAAACTTAAATAAATGACTGATCAGGTCAACTTGTAAACATTTTCCTAACTGAGTGAGAACATCTTCAATATATTTTGTATATGTTTTTGAAATTTACTGCAAAGACTTCCTGCAGGACTTGGGACATTACCTGTCATTAAAGTATTTGAAGGACTTTGTCTTACTGTGCAGTTTATAGCACTGTCAAAATTGATATATAAACTTAAATGCCAAAAAAAGATTTTAACAAATTCAGTACTATATTTAGAACATTTAAATTATAGTAATTCTTATAATGAGTGAAAATCTTTAACAGTCGTAAAGAATTCATTATTAGTGGACAAATGATAATTCTCCCTTATTTTTACCTAGCCAAACTAACTTTAAGAAAGGCTGTCATGTGGCCAACTGATGTAAGAAGTGTACTACTTTTACACTTCAGGAATTTGAGCAAAGTCTTAGCCCAACAAAATACATGTGAAAAAAATGTTCTAAAGTTCTCTAATATCCCTATAATGTTATTGTTTCTATTTAAATTGTAATATAATAGATTTTACAACGTCACCAATCCAATTGGTAGGATTTTGTGGTCTTCATCTGTATGGTGTGATCTGTCTTCCTCTGCAGGCTGCTTTACCTGTGCATTTTGTCACCATGACTGAACCCATCCTTCTCAATGTCAGTTTTTAACTCTGTCTCAGTGCTCTCGGTCCTGTTGGCATTTTAGAAATTGTCATTAATTTTGAAGTATTTTTTATATAAGAGGTATTTTATATACTTTGCCAATCCATACCTTCAATTCTTGAATCAAATCTAAGCCTGGTATACCTCCTGGAGTTTCAACCCCAGTAGATTTACAAGCAGAATAAGGAGGTGACAAGACACTCCTTTATTTCTTGCTGCCCTTCTAGTCGGCCCTTGGATCGCTACGCATTTCCATCTGGAAGGTTTCTTCTCCACAGTGATTTCACATTACAGGAGGGTTTTCCTTCTTTGTTTCTCAGACCTGGTCCTGTAGACGGGAAGGAGCCTGGACACAGTGACACATTCTCAAAGGCCCTGCAGGACCGCCATGGCTTATGATGACTCCATGAAGAAAGAAGGTATGACCCCTTAATCTGAGAAGCATTCCAAAGGGGGTATACTCTTCAATCCTTGCAGCCCATGGACATAGTGACCAGGACTGGGCGCCACAGCTTGGACTCCCCAGTGATGGTCCAGAGCACTATTAGGATATTCAGCCTCCACGACATCCCCAGGCTGGGCCCATCCATGGAAACGAAAACCAGGACAGGGGTTCCAGCATGAGAGTCTGAAATCGAGCCTAGTTTATTGGGGTGATCCCCTGCAGCACTCTTGGTCCTTGCCGTCTCCAATGTGCAGGAGCCTGGGGATAGGAATCACATATTGGACTCCCACAGAGCAACGCAGCACATGAATCCTTATTATTTCCAGCCTTACCTCTGCAAGTCCGTGTCCACCTGCCAAATCACAACTAAGAAACCATGTCTGAGGATGCACATTTGGGCCTTTGCATAGTGTGGAAGCATTGTTTCTTCAGGTTTGATTGTATTTGCAGCCATGTCATCAAGAAATATTCTTGTCCCTTTGGATCTAGCCCTGTATTTCAGTGGACTTGTTGAAACATTATTTTAATTTAGAAATGAGGTACTATTGCATTCATTGCATGTTGATGATTTCATTGTTACTTACTTGACTTTCTCATTTCCTTTCCCAAATGAATCCGTGCCTCCCAGATTGCTTTGACGATGATCACAGCTTTGAGGACATAGGACTGGCAGCTGGCCGAAGCCAACGAGAAAAGAAACGTTCTTACAAAGATTTTTTAAGGGAAGAGGAAGAAATCGCTGCTCAGGTCAGGAATTCTTCCAAGAAGAAGTTAAAGGTAAGGTTCTAAACATTTGAGTTAGGGAAGTTTTTAGCTATTTCTTGTATTTCCTAATATTTGAAAAAGGAAATTTCTTTTAAAAGCTTCTAAAAAGAAAAATAAAATGCCGCTCACGTCTTTTTTTTCTTTTTAATTCACATCTATTTTTATTATTTCTTGTGTTTTAGTTTGTTTTCCAGAGTTAAAAATTGTCTAAGAACAAGAGTAGTTCCAAACTGCTTTTGCCTCATCTTATTTACTGATCAACTGTTCTTCCTCTTTAATTCCAGGGTAGTGAACTTTACTTCTTGGGGACGGACACACACAAGAAGAAGAGGAAGCACTCCTCTGATGATTACTACTTTGGAGGTAAGGATGGGAAAGGGCAACAGGTGGGATAAACACATCACTGGTTCTTGGAGTCGGGGTAGGGGGAAGGGATCCAGATGTTGCTGACTCAGTGGCCTATTTAACAGGACAGTGGTTCTTGTTCTGAGTGCCGATAAACCAGTGTGAAGGAGGAGAGAGGTGGAGGGCTGGTATTTTGGAGGATTCAGCATAGAAGAACAGTCTTCATTTGTGATACACCAGGTACCAGGTTCCTTCTCCCCCCAATCATCCACTTATCTTATGCCCTTTGTTATCTAGCATTCCTTTGCTGTATGTAGTCATTGGGCCCCCTGGCCTGCACCTGTGGGTTACTTCTCTATCCAGTGTATATCCACTCACAAGACCAGTTTTTCTGAGCTATGGTATGCACATAGCTGAAGAGACTAACCCCTTTTCAGAATGAATTTGTCCCGAACACAGAAACAAATGATGCTCTGTCTGCAGCTTAATCTAAATTGTAAGTGCCCTTAATCCTACAGCTGATAGTCCCTTCTTCTGGGTATGCTCTCTTTGGTAGCTTATGAAGACTCAGTGAAGAGAAACAACTTCAGTAGTGAGAACTGTCTGCCGGATCAGAGGCAGAATCTACCAAGCCAAGAAGCACATGGGCATCATCTCTGAATGTTAGGAATCAGTTGAAGGACCTCCCCTGACATCATTCGTGTTAGCCATTTCTTTCTTGTTAGTTGGGTGTTTTGGGTGTGAGAGAAAGGATGATGACAGTTGCTTCCTATCCTATTGCCATTACTTCTCTTGATTCTTTACAGACATTTCGTCTTTGGAATCGTCACAGAAGAAAAAGAAAAAGTCCAGCCCACAGTCTGCCGATACAGCTATGGACCTATTGAAGGCTATCACTTCCCCACTGGCAACAGGCTCCAAGCCCTCCAAAAAGACAGGGGAGAAATCCTCTAGTTCTTCAAGCCATTCAGAGAGTAAAAAGGAACACCACAGGAAGAAAGTAAGTGGAAGCAGTGGGGAACTATCCCTAGAGGATGGTGGCTCCCACAAATCCAAAAAAATGAAACCACTCTATGTGAACACAGAGACACTGACCCTTCGTGAGCCTGATGGCTTAAAGATGAAGCTCATTCTCTCACCAAAGGAGAAAGGAAGCAGCTCAGTTGATGAGGAGTCTTTCCAGTACCCCTCTCAGCAAGCGACTGTGAAAAAATCCTCTAAGAAATCAGCTCGGGATGAGCAAGGTGCTTTATTCCTAGGACACGAGTTACAGAGCTTTCTGAAATCAGCCCGGAAGAAGCACAAGTCATCCTCAGACCCACATTCATCTCCTGGCCCTGAAGGGTCTGATGTCTCCCAGTTCCCAGAACCCAACAGTGCTAACCTTGATCTTTCAGGGATTGAACCTATTCTTGTAGAATCAGACTCGTCCTCTGGTGGGGAACTAGAGGCTGGGGAGTTAGTGATAGATGATTCTTACAGGGAAATCAAGAAGAAGAAAAAGTCAAAGAAGAGCAAAAAGAAGAAGGACAAGGAAAAGCATAAAGAGAAGCGACACTCCAAGTCCAAAAGAAGTTCAGGACTTTCCACTGCAGCAGTGGGAGAGGTCACCATGACACCTGCCCCTCCTCCCAGCATCCCATACGCTGGAGCAGCTGCCCCTCCTCCACCACTTCCCAGCCTCCACACAGATGGGCACAGTGAGAAGAAAAAGAAAAGAGAAGAGAAGGACAGAGATAGAGAAAGGGGAGAAAAGGTAAAGAAAAAAAAATTTTTTAATATAGTAAGTGGACTTGGAGTTAAACAGCCAAGGTGAACCTTTGGGAATTTTTTGGGGGGCAGGGGTGTGGGCCATTGGAATCATATAAAGTATAAAATATTACCAGTGGCCACGTCTATCTGGTACAGAGGTAGGAGCAATCTTAATTTTTTGTGGGTTTTCTCAGTAGTTATTCTCTCGCTGCACCAAGCAAAGGTTTAGGAATACCTTGGCTTATTCTGACTGATACGTAGACTTCATAGATGGGGCCAAGCCCAGATTCTTTTTCAGTCAGCAGCGCTGTCTTCCTTGAGGCAATTGAGAGATAGGAGAAGGTGTTCTTTGAGGTCATTTTGAAAAACAGATTTTTAAAATTAGTAGAATTGTGACCAGTTAAGTTAATGGAATAAGCTATTGACTTTCTAGTGGTATTGGATACTTTCATGTATTCTCTTTAGTGTCATATGTGTGTCCTTTCATTGTTTGAGTACTTACTAATTGCCAAGCTCAATGCTGTGCTAGGCGCCAGGTGGTACAGAGATGAGCAGGGCGTAGCTTTTGACCTTAGAGAGTTAGTTCACTGTCCATTGGGGAGATAGTAATGAGAAATCAGTCACCTCAGTTTGATTTTTTTTCCTCACACTTGAGGAATTTTCCAGCAGTTGTACTGTATGATATGATGACTATGTTATTAAAGAGTTCCTCTTAAAAACAAACAAACAAACTTTTCCCCCTGTTATCAAGGTGTAATTTTTTTTGTAGAAATTTGAAAATTCAGAATAGTAGAAAGAAAAAAGAAAAAAATCGATCATAGTTTTGCCAGCTGAGGACAGCCAGTGTTTGTAGTTCTGTAAAATGAAAGAAAAGCTACTAAGAAGGAGAAAATCAAATATATTAAGAATTTGGGAGTATAAATCTCATTGTGGTCTACAATTCAGCTACAATATGGTTTCCCCATTGCAAAGGGTACCTTTTAAGAAAGTTTACATATATTTATATTTATACATATATATGTGTGTATGTATGTATACATATGTACGTATATACACAACATATATATATGTTGTTGTTGTTAGGGACCATCCATTCGGGTCCCACTCATAGCAACCCCTTGTAGAACAGAACGAAACACTGCCTGGTCCTGCGCCATCCTCACAATCATTGCTATGCTTGAGCCCATTGTTGCATCCACTGTGTCAGTCCATCTTGTTGAGGGTCTTCTTCCCTTTCAGTGACCTCACTTTACCAAGCGTGATGTCCTTCTCCAGGGACTGGTCCCTCCTGATAACATGTCCAAAGTACATGAGATGAAGTCTCACCATCCTCGCTATATATCTCAGAAAGAAAAATATATGTACCTTCTGAGCCAAAAATCAGTGTGAACATAAAAAATAGATACTCAGATACTGGGTCATTTTTTATTTATTTGTTTATTTGAACATTCCTTCAACAAATAGAGAATATATATTTTGTGCAAGGGTGTATGTTTACCCTAAGGATTAACATTCTAATGATATATGATAATATCATCGACTAATCTTACACTGCTGAAGGTAGAAGGGTAAAAGCTTTTTCAGCTAGGCCTTGAAGAGGAGAAGGGGTTTCAGTGGAAAGGAATGCATGGAGGCAGAAAGACATTTCGGAAATGACATAGTGAAATAACTGAACTCTAGTAGAGTTTCTAGGACTAGTCTAGTTTCTGACTGTCTGATAAACATTTCTGCTTGGATGCTTTGGGTACTTCAATCCAGTGTGTCACTAACTGAGCTGTCATCCAGGCCCGTAAACCTGCATCTTCTCCTCCATCTCCTGTATTTCTGGTCAATCCAAACTCAGAACCTTATACTTATCATTTTTCTCAACATTTTTTATTATGAAATTTTTCAAACCAAAAGAATTGAAAGAATTGTGCGGTGAACACCACAGGCCCTCCACGGAGATTCTAAAATTAACATTTTGCTGTATTTGCTTTATAATAATATCTCTCCATCAGTCTATCCATTGATCCGTCGTACCTTTTTTTTTTTTTTTTTAATGTATTTCAGAGCAGGGCTTCAAATCATTTCAAACCAGTTTGATCATGACTGACAAAGCAAAATTAGAACAGACCTGAATTTTTACAATTTGGGTGAAGCAGAATGGGAAAAATTACAGGTCAAAGCCCTGGAATAGGTGACTGGGAAGAGGCGCAATGAGCCCTTTCAGGAGCCTGATTTGGGAGATTAGATTATTGCCAGGACTGCAGAGAGCAACACAAATGCAAAGGGACTGAGCAGCCACCATCTTTATGGGGCGCACTGCTGTTTCCTACTCTTCCTGTCAAGATTTGGTTGCTATGCAATACACACGCTGCCGTTATTTTTTAAGAGGAAGATTAAGTTTCCAGCACAGCTTTGACCCATAATTTTTCCCGTTCCAGTTATTATTCTGGTTCCCCCACATTTTAAAAACACGGGTCCATTCGGGTTTCACTTTGTTGGCCGTGACTGAACCAGCCAGAACCAGTTTGAAGCCCTGTTTCAAAGTAAGTTGCAGATATCATACACTTCAGTCCTAAACACTTCAGTTTGCATATCATTAACTTGAGTTCTGTATTTGTTTTCAGAGTTTTTTTGTTTATTGGTCTTTTTTTTTTAGGTAAAATTTGCATATAAGGAAATGCACAAATCTTAAGGATACCATTTGATGAGTTTTAATTAACACACATACTTATGTAACCCAAACCTCTGTCAAGATATAGGCATTATCCCAGAGAGCTCTTTCGTACCTCTTCCCAGTCAGTCTCCACCCCCAGAGCCAACTACTGTTCTGATTTTTTTCCAATCTTATGGTTTACTTTTACATTTCTTTCTTCCCTGCTCTCATCCAACTATTTCCACTCAAGTGTTAAACCTGATGTTCTTCCTCATTAGTAACTTTCAAGCCTTTGTTTCCTACCTTACCCCTGCTACTATCTTGTGCCTCATCCCTCCGTATACTTGATGTAATAAATGGCCTCTTTTCTGCTTCTTTCCCCCATGCAACTAATCTTAACCTTGATGCCACACCGGTCTTCTTTAAACACCACTTCAATGATGATAGTCCTCTGTATGTTCAGCAGATCCTCAGTACCTTTATGTTAGGCTGTAAGCTCCAGAAGGACCGTGATCGTGTCTGTCTTGCTCTCCACTCGATCCCTAGTGCTTAACCTGCAGTCTGCCTGTTGTAGGCAGTCAGTAAATACTTGTTGAATGAATAAATATCAAAGGCCAAACCCTTGGCCAGGTATTCATGCTTGTCCATGATTTAGCCCTAAACCTCCCTTTTCATACACTATGTATAACCAAACTTGTTTCCCGTATATTCTTACCTCCATTCCTTTGCTTATCTTTTTGCAGTAACCTTTTTACCCTTCTCACACATTGAAGCTTTGCCTTCCCTCCAAGACCTAATCAAATGCCACCTCTTTGATTGGGATAAGACATCTGACATCCTGTCCCCAGCAGAAGTAACTTTTGTACTCCCGTAACACCTTGCTGTCTCTCTTATTGCACTTACTTTCTTTCTTATATTACAGTTATCTTTGTACATATCCCATTTCCTGTATTAAATAATTGGTTAACACACTCAGCTGCTAACCAAATGTTGGAAGTCTGAGTCTACCCAGAGGTAACTTGGAAGAAAGGCCTGGCAATCTACTGAAAAATCAGCCATTGAAAACCCTATGGAGCACAGTTATAATACTCTGACACACCTGGGGTTGCCATGAGTAGACGTCAACTCGACAGCAACTGTTTTTTGTTTTTTGTTTTTTTTTTTAATAAGGTCCTTTTAGTTAGCTTAATGTTACTTTCAACTTCTAAACGTCCTTGGCAAGCATTTTATAACTATTTGTATGGATGAAAAAAAGGTAGATTGGAAGCAAACTGTAAAGAATCTTGAATGCCAAGATAAAGGATTTGGCAACGGGCACTTTGGAATTTGTGAGCAGGGATTAGATGTGATCTAAATGATAGTTTAAGGATAAAATGATAGGGCTGTACAGGTGGAATGGACTGAGGAGAGACTGGTGGCAGACCACCCAGGAGGTTATTATAGCTCAGAAGGTCAGTAATAAAAGCTTGATAGAAATAAAATTGAAGACACAGGTCCAGGAGAGACTCTAAAGGAAAAAATTTGTAAGATCTGGCAACCAGGCTTGCATCTGGGAAGCCAGAAACAGGAACGAGTTAAGGATGAGCCTTAAGGTTTTGAACCTGGGTGCCTAGGAAAATGAAATTATAATTTCAAATGTAGGGACGTACTTGTGTGTAATTACCCCTTGTGGCTGACAATTGCTAGTGAAAAAATGAATTTTAGTGAACAGCAAAATCCATATTGTGAATCAGTATTTGATTGTAACTGTCTAAAAAAACCTGAAATAGTCATACTCTGAATTTAATTATTTATTTATCCAACAAATATTTATTGAGTACATACTGTGCTTTTTAAACCTTACCTGTGCATAAAAATCTCCGAAGAAGCTTTAAAGAAATATTCTTGCCTGGGTCCCATCCTCTAAGGTTCTGATTCATTAGGTCGGAGGTGGGTCACTCGCATTAGTTTTTAGTTTTTGTTTTATTCATTCATTATTGTTTTAAAAAGCTTTACAGGTGAGTCTCATGCACATCCAGGACTAAAGAAATATTGATAACAGAACAAAGCACTGATAAGTAATAAGACCACTCTAACCTCTGAGGGAAAACAGTGCCCAAAGTGCGATGTTCTTGGTGCCACACTTTCAGAAGGATAGTTACCAACTGTCGCGTGCAGAGGCTAGAGTAAGCAGGAAGGTGATGGAATTTTTAAAACTTGTCCCTCCCAGGAACACACAGAGAATGTCACAGTAGAAAGATGTTCCAGTTTCTGTCATTTTAATAAATTTAAATTAATTAAAGTCTGTGAATTGCCCTCTCAGTACCCTTTTGGTAAGTCTCACTATTTTGATATGTAGTTCTAAATTGTTCCCCTGTGATTTT